AAATTTAAACTAAATACAAAAGTTATAGATGCATCAAAAAAAGATGGCAAAGTTTATGTAAATGTTGAAGCATCCAATGGAGGTACACAAGAATCAGTATGTAGCTTTGATTCACATAATTATTTATTCAATATTAAAATTAATAATAATTTTTTTGGATAATAATTTCTAAAAAAAAAGTTTTTTATTTAATAAAAATAAAGTTAGAAGCTGATGTTGTACTTGTTTCAATTGGAAGACGACCTTATACTGAAAAACTTGGTTTAGAAAATGTTGGAATTGATGTTGATGATAAAGGAAGAATTAAAATCGATTCTCATTTTAAGACTAATCATTCACACATCTTATGTATTGGTGATGTTACTTATGGTGCTATGTTAGCTCATAAAGCCGAAGAAGAAGGTTTATAAGCATTACATTATTTGTTTGATATTTGAAACCATAATAAACAAGCAAAAGCTTATCCGGTTTTATTTTTTTTTTTTTTATGTTAATTAAGGCATAGCTGCTGCAGAATTTATTGCAGGTGGATTTGGACATGTCAATTATGACGTGATACCTTCAGTAATTTATACACATCCAGAAGTTGCATGGTGTGGTAAAACTGAAGAACAAGTTAAAGAAACCAAAAAACCATATCGTGTTGGTACCTTTCCATTTGCTGCAAACTCACGTGCACGAACAAATGACGATTCTGAAGGAGTAGTTAAGATTATATCTGATGAAGAAACTGATCTAGTGTTAGGAATTCATATAATTGGACCAAATGCTGGTGAAATGATAGGTGAAGCTGTTCTAGCTATGGAATATGGTGCAAGTAGCGAAGATATAGCTAGAACTTGCCATGCACATCCAGTTAGTATTTCTATATATATATATATAAAAGAGAATAAAATTTAAATTAATATTCTAATTACAGTTTATTTTGGGGATTTTTTTTTAGACATTATCTGAAGCATTCAAAGAAGCTGGTACGTGATCATAATCATTATTATTGATACTGACGTTAATATATATATATGTATAATATTCCTCATTTTATTTTCCCTAAAAAAATTTTTTTTATAGCAATGGCCACATATGATAAACCAATTCATTTCTAAAAATTCAAGCAACTTTTTTTATTTAAAATATATATATTTATTACATTCTTTTTATATTTTTTTCTATATAACAAATAATAAATAGAAAATTACAAATTTAGTATTGATCGCTACAATTTAAATCTTCTAAAAAAAATTTTCAACACAAATAATGATCAATTATAATAAAATAATAATAATTGAAATAATTCATGAAATAAAGATCCGCACCTTTTGAGAAAAAAAGAGCGATCTTGAATTTATGATAGTTTTTTGCAGAAGGTTATATATAGAGAAAATTGCCCTTTTAACTGTTTTATTTATTACGAATAATTTATATAAAATAAAGATTGAAATATAATGGAAAGGAAAATTGTTGTGAAGTAAAAAAAATATCAATTTTTCTTTACTTCTTATTATTTTTACTATGTTTTCAATCTGAAAAAACCAAGACCAATTCTTGCTTTGTTTACTGCATTTTCAAGATTTTGTTGATCTTCTGAAGACCAATCAATTGGATTTGATTTCTTTTTTTGAGTCATACTTTTTAAAAAATAAATAAATGCCATTTAACTTTAAATTACTAATAAACATCAATACCAATACCAATATATATATATTTGCTTACTTGTATAAATCTGTTTTGTCACCTGAACCGCTAGCCACAAAAAAAGCAGTTCCAGAAGGTAATTGATGATAAATACGTCGAATTCGATCGTTCATTGCAGAAACCTTTTTTATTAATTCCTCGTTATTGCTTTGAGAAAATACATCAAAATCTAAAAGACGCGCCCAAACAAAGTCACTGTCATCAATTGTACTAACAAGACCTACTTCAACCTATTATGAACAATTATTATTATTGTTATTATTAAAAAAAAAACCAAAATAAAATAAATCGCTGTAATTTACCTCTTCGTCAGTAGAGCAAATAACTATATTTTGTGCGTCAGTACCAAAAGACTGAGATGCTTTATCATCTATAAATACACTTCGTTTATTAAGCCTCGCTAAGCGTCGAAATATAGGTTCAGTGATTTTATCAAATTCCATTCCTACAAAAAAAAATTTTATAATGAATTTTTGATATCAAAAAACAAAAAGATATATGTAGAATTTATTCAAGATAAAAAACCTTTCTCAAGCTTCAACTTCACCAATCCCATGCATGCTGAAGCGTCTTCAATTGGATCATGTCCAACTATATCGCCAGCAATCTCTTGAATCGTACGATTAAGCCACTTTTGAGTCAAATGTTTTAATTTCGGTTTAGGATAACCTACTCCATTACTATAGAGAACTGATGTATCTATTATATATGGATGTGCAAACTAGCAAAAATGATTGGTCTTAGTGATAATTTATCTATATAGAATAAATTGTTTTTTTTTTCAATTGGAACATATAAATTATTATGATATTTAATATAATACTTTTAAAACTTTCAAATCACATTCAAGTGAATGTCCAATTAGAATTGAATTATTGCCTATAATTTCCAATAATTTTTGCTGGACATCAGATAAAGTTGTGGTTACTCCTGTTAATAATTCCTCCGTGATGCCGCTGTATCTAAAATGATTTGTTTAAAAAAAAAAAATGCGACAAAATTAAAAATAATGATAATGATAACAATGGTAATGATGATTATGTAGAAGAGTAATATAATATTTACGCAGTCAAATAATCTGTTACTGGACTACTTGGCATTACTAGTTCATCATAAATTACTTTTGATTCTTCATCTACAATTGAAATTCTTGCCAGTGCTTGACCAGTCGTTGTAGTTACCTAATTAAATTAAATTTTATTACGTAGCGCAAAAAATTTTTTTAATTGCGGTTTCCATTAACAAATAAACTAACAAGCATAATGACAAACATAATAATATATAATTTAAATGTCATTACCATTTCACAATCCATCGCAATTAATTTTGGCTCGACTGTTTCGCCATTTTTTTCTTTAAATAATACTATTTCATTTAATTTAAAACTTTCAGCAAATTTTACTTCAAACCATCCTTCTGAAGGAGAAACACCATTGTCATCGTTATAACAAGATGGAATTGGATATCCATTATTGATCATTTGTTCAAGCGTTAACAAACATTTTCTCAATTTTTCAACTGTATCGACTAATATTATTTTTATTAATAAGGTAATCCAATTAATTAAATATTCCAAATCTCTTGATAATAAATAATAATAATCATATTTAATAATAGATATTCTTGCCTGAAATATTTTCATCGTTTTGTTTTGCTTTTTCGCTATTAGGAATTGAAGTATTAAGAATGCAAGCGATAGGAGAATAGATTCTATTTTTGTCACCAGGAGCACGTGTGACACAAGCATGTGAGAAAATATCAGATAATGCTGGGAAGACATCATTTATTTTGTTGATAGATTCAATATCACCCAATAAATCATTCTGACATAACTCTTTAAGATCTATAGGGCCATTAACAGATCGAGCAGTTTCATGATCCATACCAAAAAATTGTGGAGTTAATCCAGGTACCATTAATATAACAACTTTGGATATTAATTCTTTATTCTTTTTTTTTTTAAAAAAGGTATCAATGAATTATTAATTACACTAAAGAGATTCAAATCAAGAAGAAATTTAATAATTCAAAAACCTTGATAAACATCCAACGAGGACAAATTCCATCAGCGATACATGCTAGTGCAAGATTTTGAATATCCTATACAATATTCAAATCATTACATTACTATAAATCTTAGAGATTTAGGACCAGCGTAAAGCAAATAAAGTTTATATTATTAACATTATCATTACCTTGAAATTTATTACTTTGAGAACACTTCCTACAAAAAAAAACTCGGGTTGCTTCGATTTTTGCTTTTTTTCAGCTTTCTTTGGATCAATTTTTAAACAAAAAAAATTAAAAATTAAAAACAAACAAACAAACATGATATTGATATCAATCAATCATACCTTTGGTCTATTTTGTTGTTTTTTAATGTTTTTTGATTTTCGTTTATTATTTGATGCCATTTTCCCTATTATATATATAGCATTATATAAAAATTTACATTTACCATTATCAAAAAAGTATCCAACTTACATGGAGGAGATTCTGGATTTTCATTTATTTCAGTATCACTTGTTGAACTCTCTTCTTTTTCTTGGAAACTTGATAAAAGTTTCGAGAACAAATTTAAAGTTTGAAATCGTGAATCAGCTACTGATTCATCTTGCTCTGTTTTTCGAAATTTTTGATGATGCTTATCATTGCTAACTATAACATCTTCTTCAGAATCCGAGTAAGAGGGTTGCAATCTCTTTGTTCCAGGAGTTGGAATTGAGGACATTATTGCAAATATTTTTTGCTGGTAATTTTTTAATTGATAAAAATTATACTATAAAAGAAAATCATTCTAATTTAGAAAATTTGTTCAAATCAGGGTCACACATAGTTTTCTGATCGAAACTGCAACAAAACCAGATAGTTGCCAAGAATTTCAGTGTCTAAAATTGTTTGACACCGTTGTACTACTAACATATTCATGTATTCAATATTATGATTTAAAAGTAACGGGTAATAATAATACTAAAATGAAACTTCATTATTTCTTGATTAACATTATCTAACAAACTATAAATCTCAGTAAAGGAAAGTATTATTCTACACATTAATTTTTAAAGAAATTGTATTTCTTATATATAAAAATTATTAATATAATTTCGATTTAGAAATTTAATTTTTTTTTTTTTTGATTTCAAAGATTGTTATTGATGATGAATGGATAAAAAATTAATAATAACAATAATTTGTAAATGATAAAAATACCTAAAAATTAACATTGAATGGATCATTTATCTTTCTTTTCATAGATTTCCATTTAAAGTAATATCAGTGTTTTTTCGTGATATATCTAATGTTTGAAGCTCGATTAGAGATGCGATCCGTGGATATCCGTCATCGGTTCATCCGTCATTTATCTCTAAAAAATCCGTTAATTGCTCAAAAAATACATCCGTCGGATTTAAACGGATTATCCGTAATCCTATAACTTCTAAAATTTCAATCCGCAATTCGTTAGCATTTTTAAAAAGCCATCCGTCCATCCGAATTGTTTTACGGATATCCGGATTGATCATCCACGGATCGCATTTCTAAGCTCGATACAATTAATTCTTTTTTGAAATACATACTTCAAAAGAATTGATGATTACTCTTTGGTCCGTTTAGTAGTCCAATGAGTAATGTATCTTTGTCCACCTTCAGATATATCATCTTGATTTTCGCCACCGCCACCGCCCTCTTCATCATCAATTGTTTGTAATTCCTCGACAACATGGTGTTCAACAACTACTGTATTACATGATTTTCACTTATGTTACTACCACTTTCACTTTCTTCTTACTCGTTATCTTTTCTTCCTCACTATAGTTACTATCACTTTCACTAAATTCTTCTGCTCTATTAATTATATTAGTAGTTGTAATGATGTGATGTTTTCAGTTCCATTTTAAAAGAATCAACAAATTTTCTTGGTCATCAAAAGAACTTTCGCTAGTCTCTCGAATATCAGCATCTTTCAATTCTGTGGTTGTATGATTTTGGCAAACAAAAATGTAAATAACAAATTATGATCAAACAAAAAAAATTTTTTTTTAAAAGCTTAATTCATCATAGTCATTAATATCACGTATAAGCTCACTTGTGAAAATCTCTAATTCCTTTTTTTATTTTTTTCCCAATGAATTATTTGTTGTTTCAATTTTGATGTCATATTGATTTTTTGAGATCATTAATAATATTTCCAACCTAATTAATCCAAAATAAAATTATTAAATTTTATTACATTAAAAGATCAAGAGTAAAGTAATCAATTTGTCCAGTGAATACCAGTATCAAAAACAG